AATGGTTGTGATGTTAGGAAATAATGCTTCCCTACTCACACACCGAAACATACAGTGAATCCTACACACACACAGAAACACACCATGCTTCCCTTACAGACTCACTCTTACACATAATGCATCCATCACATACACAATGCATCACACACACACATACACACTGCTTCTTACACACAGAAACACAATGTATCTTACACACACTCAATACACCACTTACAAACACTGCATCCCTTACATACAAAGAAACACTCCTTGCATCCCTTACACATACAAACACAGATTCACACAATGCATCACATACACACACATCCCATACACAAACAAGTATTCCTATACACTACATTCCATAAGAACACACACACACTTGTCAGAGTATTTATATCGGCAGACATTTTGTGCTATGATAGAAACTAAAAGTGTACATTCTGAGTCACTCTGAACAGACCAGACTCCATTTTGTTATTTCAAGTTAACAAAGAGACACAGGATTTCTTTCTGTAAGACTGGCCTCTTTGCCAGAGCTAAGGAATGCATAGCATAGTATAAACAAGTGATAAGAAGAATATAATCAAATCTAAACCCAGACATTTGTGACAGAGAAGATTAAATAATAAAATTTAACTGTCTATATATATAAGGTACCATTGTATGGAAAAGGGTAAACTTAGTTCATGATCTGCCATATCAGAAAAAAACTCAGATTTGCAGACACATAGTCTGGACAAAACTTAAAGAACCCTTTGATCTTTGAAGGATACGTAAGTTATAGCCACTATCTAGATAGGCCAAAATGACGTCAAAATAGCCACCAGGAAAAGTTAACTCTTTCCTGGATAGGTATGTTTAGTGGGACAAGACTGCCCTCTATAGACCAAATACCTAATTTGCGATCTGGAAGATAACCACACCTCTAGTGCTTCTATTGGGTTATCAACTGATGACGTACAGAGAGTCTGGCCTTTTAAAAGTTAAGACAAAGGGAAGATAGAAAAAGACGAGAAGAGGCAGAGATCCAAGAGATATGCAAAGAAAAAGAGGAGAGAGGAATTGGAAGTTTGGGGACTCCAACCTCCATGCAGAGAGAGACATCCAAATAAGTTCCTGAGACTACCAATCGGATGAAATATCTACTCAACTGGTAATTATACTGGTTTCATTTAATTAAATTAAATTAATTAAAATGTATTAATAGCATTATATATGACTGGATAAAGCACGGTCAGATTTCCATATTAAGAAATCTTAGTTAACTAAAATATATATAGTTATAAACATTCCATTCTGCAGGTGGAATTAAGAATAATTATATATTGATGTGATATTATCACGTGTTAGCATACCGCTGTTTTTATCCAGGTGTATTGATTTGCTCTAAATTAAGATAGATATCTTTTAGACAAATTAAAAATCTGCTTATATAATATGGTAGATTCTCTTATTGGATGATTTCAGGAAATGACTAATGAACTGGGTTAAATGTTATTTTATTTAAAAATTACATAAGAATAGATCTTAACTACCTAGGAGATCTAGCCAGCATTGAAAGGGTTATTCTAACTGTCTGCTAAACTTTACGACCTTACGCTGCACTCTGAGGAATTCTGTTCTTCACTGTGAAAAGTTTCACTTTCAGCCTGTGTTAAAGATAGTCATAAATAATTCTTGACAGGAAATGCTATTTAGCCATTGTAACGTAATACCCATTTCTTTGTATTGCATACCAATTTATACTGGATATTCATTGATTATTGTCATGCATGTTGCATAATATTATTATTAATTTGTCATTATAAATAAAAATCTATTTTTATACATTGTGATATTAATTATATGAAATACATTCCACTTAACACGATAAACGTTCTTTGGGATCTGAGAATTGAATTAGTGGGCAATTCTCACTGTTACTATTATTATCCCATAAATATCCCCACACACTATATACTCTACAATAACACATAACATCTATCCTACACACATACACTTCTTGTGAGCGAATTCATGTACGGGCCATGTAGGTGGACTTATGGGCGGGCCTTGCCGGCATATTCACGGTCAAGCCTTGAGGGCCCAGACCTTGAGCTGTGTAAGGGGCCCCACAAAATGGAGCTGCTTCCTGTTCGTTGATATATGTGAGCACTGATACAAACAGCCTCCAGACCAGTGGAGCCAGTCTGCAGCCTGGGCCCATCATCATCCTCTTGTTCTTATCTGGTTGTAAGTAGGCAATCCATTAAATTATTAATGGCACTAATCTCTAATTTACCTCATATTAAAGGGACACTATAGTCACCAGAACCGCTACAGTTTAATCTAATGGTTCTGGTGTCCAGGGCCGCCACCAGAAATTTTGGGGCCCCTAACTGAGCTCAGGGTGTGGGCGCCCGGGGGCCCGCCTCCAAAACTGCCCACAGAGACCGCCTCCAAATCCCGCCCACAGGAATACACACACAGATACAAACACATTCACTGATACAAAAGGACACAGATACACACACACACACACACACACACTGATACATACTAACAGACACACATACTGACACACACACACATATACAGACACACAGGAGTACATAGTGACAGACACATACTAACATACATACAGACACACATACTGATACGCATATAGACATACATACTGACACACACATACTGAGACATACACACATATACAGGCGTACATAGTGACAGACACATACTAACATACATACAGACACACATGCATAAGGACATACAGACACATTCATAATGGCATACAGACAGACTTTCATACTGGCATACATACATTCATTCATACAGACAGACAGACATACACACATTCATAATGACATGCAGACATACATACACTGACATTCATACACACATAATGACATGCATACAGACATACATTCATACTGGCATACATACATTCATACAGACACTGACATCCATACATACACACATTCATAATGACATGCAGACATACACATAATGACATGCATACAGACATACATTCATACAGACACTTACATCCATACATACACACATTCATAATGACATACAGACAGACATTCATACTGGCATACAGACAGACATACATACACTGACATTCATACACCCATAATGACATGCATACAGACATACAGACATGCATACATTCATACAGACAGACATACATACACACATTCATAATGACATGCAGACATACATACACTGACATTCATACACACATAATGACATACATACAGACATAGACAGACAGACAGACAGACACACACACAGCTCATTTTCCAGCCACCCTCCTGTTTCTTACCTTGTCTTTGCAGGAGGGTGGCTGGGGCTGATGGGACTGGGAGTCGGCTGGCTCTCCCTCTTCATTGCCAGGCGCGTGCTCCTCCCGCGCGGAGTGAGCTGGGAGGAAGTGACCACTTCCTCCCAGCAGCACTTGTGCTGCGGCTGCATTTTTTTTTAACGGGGCCCGGTCGCGCTATACCACAGCCACAGCGCTGACCGGGCCCCTGAAGTATTGGGGCCCATCGGATGGCCCTAAGTGCGTGGGCCACCCGATGAGCCCCATCAGCGTGCGGGCACCGGTGCAAGTGCACCAGCGGCAGTTCCACCGCTACATGTGGGGCCCCTTTAAAAAAAGCTCATATGGCGGATCATATTGGTGGGGCATTGTGATGTCACATGGTGGGCAGAAAGGAGGCAAATTTTTGTTTGCCTAGAGCGGCAAAAATCCTTGCACCAGCCCTGTTCAGCGAACATAATGATTTTGGGCTTGTTATGTGAACACCATGCTTGCAGTGCATCGATTTTTGGTAGTAGGTTGCGGGTGTTACAGTGCAGGATGGGGGTTGGAGTGCTTGATTTCAACACTCTCCACCAGCACTCAGCAACAAAGCAGACCGTGATGTATAAGAATTTGGTTCTCAGTTTGTGGTGAGTGGTGCTTAAGAGGGTAGTGGTAGGAACATGACAAGAGTGTGAAGATGGTTACGATGAATATTAACACGGTCAAATTTGGAGACATGTACAGGAGGGGAGGAGATGAAAACAAACATTAAATAAGTTACAAGTCATGCATATAGAGTGAGGAAGTAGTACAGAACACAAACATAAATGCAGCAAGTACAACGGCGTTTGGGTGATAATGAAAATGTTGATTGAAGCACTGTTTTGGAGCTGTTTTGCTCCTTGCTCCGTGTGTCCTCCTTGGTGAACTTCCTTGGTAAATTCCTAGGATTCAGGGCACTTATTGGAAGTTAGCACTTGATGCACAGTGGCACACAGATGGAATGTGGCCTGTGCTCCCTTTGGTCGTATGCTCCCTTGTGACTATATTATAGATAATGGAAAAACATCAACACAGAGAGGGCCCTTAATCATAGAACAATTCGAATGTTGTGAACTCCCGTGAGAGTCACCATCTCTGAGCAATACTTTGCATATACAGTGAGATCTGAGCATGGGTAAACACATTGAAGAACATGTGGGATGTGTCTAGAAATAATTCAGACAGAGGTATCACTGACAAAAGAAAAAATAGGGTAAAAATAGTATATTAATAAAGAGCAAATACTGCCTGTCATGAAGGACTAGCCAGATCCATGAGTGACCAAAGATCAAGGGGACACAGCAACAAAAGCAGAATAAATGTAAAAGCTGAAACACCCATTAGAAGCCACTGGAGACCTATCCCCTTACCATGATACAAAGAGTATGGGAGGATGTATATTTTATAGTGATCTAATTATAAAACGTACTCTTTTTGATATTAGAATGACTTGATGTCAAATAATGGTATCTAATTCCCACTCTAAATTGATTCCATTGAGGCGTCTTGTCTTTAAGCTCTTACATATATCTCCTCCTCGTGTGATAACCAGCAGTTTGGACCATTTTAGCGGCTCAGAGCACATTTGTGCTCTGAGCTGGCAAAGGGAAGATCAGAGGGAGAGAATAAAGGAGGAGGAGGGAGGGTGGGATTAAAAATTATAGTGGATCGGATAGGGAGGATTGAGGGGAAACAAGAGCTTCTCCCTTGCAGAAGGCTCTCCCTGCAAGGGAGAAGTGCGCACTGAGGACAGACGTTTTTTATGCATAGAATTGACATTAGACAGCCCGAATCGGAATTCCAGGTTGCCCAAGTCACGTGTGCTGGGGGTGCAACTTGTCCCTGGCACACAAGTGCCAATATCAGCAGAAGTGGCCATGGTGGTTGAAGTAACCTTTTAATTCACATTAAAACATAGCAACCTACTAACTATAACATAACTATGATGGATAAGCAGAACCAGTGATATCACCATTACCCAGTATGTTGTAATTATCTGTTGAATGGAACCATCTATGGAACTTTGACAAGCACCACCTAATGGAAACTGTTGCTTTGTAGCCATTTTTTAACACATGACTATCTGTTTAGGACCCCTATACATTATATCCATAATGATAACAAGTTACAGCCAATTAACGGCCTGTAGAAATATTAAAATTATATGTGTTTTTAAAGAAGATTCCGGGAGCTCCATTTTCTTTAAATGTACGTGAACCAGTTTTATTACTTCCTTATCCATTATCTTATTTGCAAGAAAAAGAAGAGATTGAATCACCATAAAGGACTAACCTAAGGCAGGTAACTGAAGGAAGAAATATTTAAAAACTGAAGATGTTACTTCTTTATGGTGTTTGAAACCTCTCTTTTTCTTATGTTTTATTCAGTGTTAATTTTGTCGACTAACAATTTTAGTCAAATTTTAGCCAACTACAATTTTTGAGATTTAGTCAACTAAAACTAGACTAAAAATAAAACAATTCAGATGACTAAAGTACGACTAAAACTAAAATGGCATTTTGGTCAAAAGACTATGACTAAAATTAAATTGAAATTTGCAGCCAAAATTAACACTCTACAGAGGCACTGTGGAAGGGGCAAAAGAGACTGACCAGGGCTTAGGAGAGAGTCACCTAGAGTGGCTGGGAGGACACAAAGAGGGGCTGGGGAAGGGGCAAAAGAGGCCTTAACTAAACCCATTAGATTTAAGTTGTGTTGACTAAAGTCTACTGGAGATTTAGTCAACTAAAACGAAAACATTTGAAATTACTAAAATATGACTAAAACTAAATTGAAATTTGCCGCCAAAATTAACACTGGTTTTATTGAAGGTTATGCCGTAGAAGGAATCAGTGAGATTTATATTTTCTTAATGTATACCCAATATATAATCTTGTTTGCTTATACATAGGACAGTGATGGAATGTTTGTATCATTGGTTTCCTGTACTGTCTACACACCTTGTCATCTCTGCTTCCTGTCCAAAGCTCTCCTTTAAGATTCAGTACAGATTCAGAAATCATTTTGCTCTCTATCTTACAATGGAGTGTTATATCTGCTTGATTCTCACTCTCCAGAACCTTATTAATGGTAAGTACAAATATACAATAATGCATTCAATAGTAAAAGCAACCAGGAGTTAATGTTCCTCTCTATAATGGAGATATAGTTTAAAAAAAGAATCAAGAGACAAAATAATGTGATATTTTATTGTAAAGAGTGATGATTATACCGGGTAAGGGTAATCAGTCCTTGACTACAAACAAGAAGTATTACAATTTAATTTTGTAGAACTGTAGAATCAACAGGACTATCTCATAGATTCTATTTACATAGAGTTACTCCAACATTCTTTACCTTCTACTTTAAGAATTGGTCTTGGTTGTAGAAGTCTTTATGTGCTTAAAGCGTTTGCACTTTTGCATACATGACTTTGGCAGCCACAAACAGATGTTAAATCTGAGCAAATTTTTGTTGTTGTGAGATTTTTCACACACACACACACACACACACACATAAATTTTAACGTTGTAAACAACTCCCAGTTTACTGAATAAGAATATACCCGGCGAGCAAAAATGCTGTCCCCCCAGATTTTTGGGGGTTCCTACACCCATGGTAAAAGCACAAATATTGTGTTAAAATGGTAGTCCTATTTCATGCCCAAAACAGGCGGCAAGAATCCTTGCACCGGCCCTGCACACAGAAATAATCCCCCACATTCTCTGCATTACTCAGACCCACATTATACCCACATGTGTCTTGATTTTCAGTTCCAAAAAACACAGTCCATATCTTTGATATGAAACACAGCAACATTTTGGCTCATGTAGAGACAAACATTGCTGTGACTGATGTGAGAACACAATAAAAACAAAATGATTTTTCACAGAAAGAGAGAATGTGTTGTAACTATTTCTGTCATTGTTGACAAATGAGACTAAAATATGAGAGAGACAACTACCATTTCCAGAATACCAGAATTTCTTTAGGTAAGAATTTAAAAAATGTGTCATCAGACAGGTACGTAGAATAAGAAAAACATGTAAGCATTTTTTATATTGTACTATTTATTAGGGGATAATAATACAGCAACAATAACCATCAAGGGTGAAGTCATCAGTATTACAATGGAAGCACCTGACCATCTGATTACACTTTCCATTTTTTGCTAAACAAATGTGACATAAAAATGGTAACAAAGAAAAAAGGAACGAAGGTGGGGAAGACTCATTAGCCAGGTGGGTCAGCTGCCCTGGAGGGAGGCTCTACATATCTGCCATTTCAGGTGGATTAGAATGCTTTCCATCCTATGAAAGAACCACATTTTGATTGTTTGAGTTTAAGGTTGGAGACTGTTTACACATTTTTGAAATCCACATTCATGTCATAGTTTCACATGTGGATGTAGTCACATGTCTATGATTCTGACCTCCGCTGCTCCGTCTCAACACACTGCTGGCCCTTCAATGAGGCATGCTGTCAGTGCACTGTACCAGCCCATCAATCCAAGTAGGCAGCCGCCATGCATGGCTTTCCCTGGAAGTGCCTGAGGACTTCAGAACAGTGGTGGAAAAGCGTGTGAAACAGAGAAGTGAGAGTGAAGCATTCAGGATCCTATTGTTCAGCTGTCTTGTTCCTATTCCACCTCTGATTTTCTCCCTTGGTTTACTGACTTCAACTTATTCCTGACTCTGCTACTTTGCCGCCAACCCTGACCTGCTGACTCCTGATATGCCTTTGTCTCACCTCTTGCCAAATATCTTGTGCTATAATAAAGCCCTGTGCCCCAAAGAACCTATCTGAAACCTGTCTGTAACTTCAGGCCTCTACTGAGGGTCGTGTTGGTATGAGTGTGCTGTTCCTGCATTTTCCATCACTCCAACCAGACTGGGACGGGTTGCCATAGATAGTTCCTGCGAGGGATATACAAAGATGTGTTCCACTTGAAAACTCACGAAGGTAAAGAGAAACTTCTCAGCCCTAGCACAATCAGGTTCTTATATACAGTAAATATCAGCCTCTCCTGTTTTACATAAACTGTGCAAACTGATTAAAATGTCACCAGAGATTTAGAGCTATGTAGCAACATGTAGTCAACTGTAGGTAGCAGTAGAGTTCAGTGGTGGAAATGTCAAAGTCATCTGTCATTTTGCAAAATAGAGAATCAGCTCTTCCAGAAGTGAATGGACTGAGATTAAGTGTATGGCAATACACCATTCAATTGGCTCGGGAGAGACAACCAATATATAAAAAAAAAAAGACGTTTTTGAAAATATAGATGTTAACACCAAAAACTGTAAGGATTTTTCATCAATTTTGAACTGCATCTGGCCATCATAAACCTCCTTAATATATTTCACAAATTCATTCAGAAGTATTATATCCAAGTGTAAATTTGATAAAATGAGCCAATTTCCAATTGCTAGAAAAATATATGTATATTAAAGTTGTTATATATTTGTTCTCCATTAATTATAAGAAAACAATAAAGTATAAACACTTTTTGTTTTTAACAGGGACGTGCGTTAGCAGAAGAAGTGGAAGACGAACTGCCCGTGCATCTGGTAATAAATATGAGTGAAGCAATGGGGACGATGCACAAAACTGTCCTCAGAATAAAAATGGTGATATTCCACTTCTGTGCTGTCTCTTCACCTAGGAAAAAAGAAGAAATAATTATTCACATTAAGACCTTGTTTTCATATTTTTGGTTAAGCTTTTCAAATTATTTCATATTTTTAGATAAACTTTTAAAACATTTTTCTCAAAACATTAAAATATAATATAGAACTGGGTTCTGTTTCTTTAAGTGGTTTGTGACTGAGTGTTGTGAGTGTTTGAGTGGCACAGAGTGTTATGTATGTGGAGGAGTGTTAGACCTGAATGGGGAGATGCTCAGAGTGTTTGTGTGGTGACTGAATTGTGTGTATGTTGGGGAGTCTGAGTGTGTCTAAATGGTGTGTATGTGTATGTCCTCTCCTTCCTTCTGCTTAGCTTCCCTGGTGACCCAGTGGTCTGGTGGGGGATCTCTATTGTCTGTACCAAAGTTAGGTACAGACCACTTTTAAAGCCCCTCGCAGTTCCGGCACTCAGATAATGACTCCAATTACTGGCTGTGGTGCTCTGAGTTATTCAGACACGCCAGGGCGCTGCGAGGGTCTATACCAAATTAACAAAATGATCTCCTTGCCACCTGAAGCAGGGCCCGCTCAGAGCCATAGCTGTAGGCCCAGACAGGGACCCACCAGGCACGTATCTGACTCGGAGCCATAGTCGGCCACCCTGGCCACTTAACATGTAATCCATCTCTGACCATGAGGACCATATATGGATGTAGGTCTGATAGAGACTAATGGCAAATCGAATTACATCCTTTGAATAGCCTTCACTTTATCAATCCATTCATTAAAATATAAAGATTTAAAGAAGTGTAATCTGAAGCCATTATGCATGGATGCACTGAATGTTTGCAGTAGAGATTCATTAAAGCGGCACTGTCATGCCGAACTTACCTTTCCCCAATCGATTCCTCTTCTCTCTCTCTCTCCCTCTCAGGATCTGTTCTTCATTTCTTCCTATCTGCTCTAATTTTCTTTAAAAATTAAGACAAAGTAGGGACTATTTCTCTTCTGGAGGTTTCCTACACCATGACCAGCTATAACCAGCTGAGGAGCAAAGTGTGCTTCGTTTCCGGTGGTCAGAGCAATTTTCCCACAATCCTTAGCTTTCCTCCCTGTTCCCACGATCATTCCTGTCCGTACTGCCGAATTGTGTCCTAACAGAATGAGAACAGTTTCTCCATTTGTGTTAGAATGCAATTCGGGACTTTGTTCGGATCGCAATTTCATTTGAATGAATGAAACTCCGATCCTATTCGTACTGTGGCTTTTGGAGCTATCTACCAAAAGGCTGAAAATGTACTGAAAGCTTCCTTGGAAGAAAATTACAAAAAGAATTTAGAACAGTGCAAGATACAAAAACAGGATAAAAAAAACATTAACATCTCCCTATGCTGGCAGATGGAAGTAAAGATAGGAATAAAAAACATATGTAGATCCGTACCTTCTAATGGGACAGATGTGATAAATGAAAATGAGATTATACTGCCCAATCTGTATCTGCATATATCCCCTATGACAACCCTACATGACAATCTGTGGTACAGCCATTAGCACCAACTGTGCTGTTACTAGACTTGTGTAGCAATTGATTATTAGTTATTAGACTTTGGGACTGCGGAAATGAAAAAAATATGAACAATAAATACCTGGGGAATTCGGCACGGTTCTCCTGAGCTGTTCGGATGGAAAAGTGGTGGTACCTTGAAGATGAAAATGATTAATTTAAATGGATGATTCTACATTGTTTGTT